CCCTGAGAAAGGCAGAAATGTGCAGAAGAGGCTGCACAAGGTGAGCTCCTTAAATTGAGATCAGCTCTTGTTGGTTTTCCTCACTGCTTAGTCTTTGAGCAGTTACCCGAGTGCTGTTTTGAGCAGCCTCTTCAGTATTTTGGTTGGTTTAGCTTGATTGAATGGGTATTTTTCCTCTCCTTTAGATCACTGAGCTACCTGAGCAACAGAAAATGAGTTTAAGCCTGATCATTGCTGATCTGCAGAGCAAACTGATGGAAGTGCAGTTGGAAAGAGATGTGCTGCAGGATACCAGGTATGAAGGCCAAGATCTATCATGCAGGGTGTCCACATGGGCTTTGAGAGGCACAGTCCTCAGGGAGAAACTTCCCTTCAGGAATAACACTCGGCTTAGCAAACAACTTACTGTTTAGTTGTTAAAACCAGCAGTTCATCAAGAGAAATATTAAACCTATTAGGATAAAAATCAGTATGAATCCTGTTTTCTATGTTTGTTTCCAAATTCAGACAAAAGGAGCTGCAGAGCCAAGAGAAAGTTAAAGTACAGCTCAGGAACACAATTGGAGAGCTGGAAGCTGCCAACCAGCTGCAGCAGGAGATGCTGAGGGAGGCTGACAGCCAAGCTGAACAGCTGAAACAGATGGTCCACAGCCATGAGGAAGTGCTGGTGGAACTCCATGGCATCCTGATGGGCTGCAGAGACAGCACAGGCAGGAAAGTCTGTGAGCGTGGTAATGTTCCCAGCCTGCTCCTCCACCACCTGAGCACAGCATTCCTTGATGTCCTACAAGATCTGGACTCAGAGGTGTCACACCTCAAACAAAAAGTTGTCCTGGTATGTGAGGAAAGTGCTGATTTTCCTTCCTACACTTTTGTCTTTTGGTTTTTAGAGAATATCTCTGAAAACTCCATGAACTCCTTCCAACCTGGGCTGGGGAAAGGGTGATGGCATAGAGGTGTGAATGCCAATTTCCACCTGAGGTGTCGTTTGTACTGGTCCCAGCTCGAGACTGGGTTTATTGCTGAGATTTAGCCTTTGTTGTGCACATTTCCACAGGCCAAGGTGGAAGGAAAAGGCAGGAAATTACCCTTTGGATGCTGTTTAGATTGTCTTTTCTTTAGGGGTTTGTTGTTTTCATCTCTTCACAATAGGTTGAAGAAGAGCTTCAGTCACTGAAAAAGGATTCACAGACGCAGAAAGAACTTCAGCAACATCAATTTAGGTGCCTGTTTTCCATTTTTTTCATTCATAAAACATAAATAGACCTTTTCCCACATGTTCCACAGATAATTCCTTGATGATGATGATGGTATTTGGGGGTAGCAAGTGATACTTCTGAGGACCTTAATAACTGTTCCATCCAGATGTTTTTTGGTCATGACTTTCTGCTGCTTTTTTCTTCCATGCTGACAAGTCCCTGCTTTATTTACTGCCTCAAAAGTACCATTTTGTAGAACCTCTACACTTTTCTAAGTGTGATCAGTCACTTAGGTGGACGTGTGGAAGTTTGTTGGGACACTAGTTGCACTAGTTAAAGGAAAAGTCATCCTTTTGGTGGTTAAATCAGCTTTTTCCTTGCTGGTTTGAGCTTTGTCCTTTGTTTGAGAAGTTCTAGTTTGCCCTGCTGCCTGAATCACAGTCACCTTTCCAAGAGAAAGGGGCTTATAGCTCAATATTTAATAACAGAACATCAAAATTATCGCATTTCTGACTACTGGAAGAGGTTACTCTTTGCCAAGATGAAAATTCTAACCAGTATTTCCTTTGTGGAACAGGAGTGAGCTGCTAAGAAGTCACTTGAGCAGGAGGTGGCAGCACAGCCTGGCAAAGCTGACAGTGCCTGCAGCTCATTCAGCTCACGGGGCTCATTTAGAAAGGGTTTAGAGACTGTTAAGAGTAATCTTAAATTGAAAGAAAGCTTAGCCTGCTAATACATTCTACTCTCTGCCCTACACTTCTGAGTTCTCAGTGCCTTTGTTTAAAGTCAAACACTCCTTGCAGAAATTGTGAAATGAGGGAAAAAGGGGGAATAACTCCCCCAAAAAAACCCATAAAACTATGCAATATAGAGGAGAGGTAAAATAGCTCTGTGTGGGGCAGGCTGAGAATCAGGAGGCTGAGGCTTCTCCTCTCATGGTTCTTGGAGTTTCTGATTTCTCCACCTCAAACTTTCCTCAGAGAACAAGCAAGAGCCCCAAATTCTGTGCACCCACATCAAGGCAGTCACCTGGAGTCCACAGCTCCTCAGCTCCATTCCCAACTGGGAGAAGCAAAGAGGATCTATACAAACAAGGTGGGTATGGATTTGCACATTAGTGCCAATGAGACTGAATATGTGGATTCCTGAAATGCACCAGCTGCAGAAGGAAAAAAGTCTGTTGATGAGAATTTGCTCCAGAAAACCTCTGTGGACACTAAGACAAATGACATTATCCTTCACTCTGTATGAAAGAACAAGCTCTCTTTCTCCAGAACAAAATGGCTCTGCAAAACTTACTGATCACCAAACAGTTTTGCCTTGTGGAAATACCTAACCTGATTCTGTGCTACAAACATCACTGGCACATAAAAATACCTTTATTAAGAGGCCTCGTAGGTTGGTCCATCCTCTCATGCACCACCAGAAGTTGCCTCCTTCCAAAAGTGGTGACCACCACTGGGTGAAAAATATATTTGCCTGTAGATTTCTGAGTGTGTTCAGAAAGACCTGTGGAAAAAGGTCTTTTTTTTTTCCCCTATTCCATTCAGTGTTTATGGTGCAGGTGAGGAGTTTCTGGAGAGCTGTGTGTCAGATTGGAAGCCAAATGATTCTTCAGAACCCTAATTAGTTCTGCAATGGAACCAAATGGTTCTCCAGAGCCCCAGTTAGCTCTGCAAAGAAACTGAGCTTATCCACTTAACCAAGACAACACCACTGGGAACACACCTAGAGCACAACTCTGCTGAGCTAAAAGATGACATTTGGACTTGTTTTTGAGTAGAACCTGGAAGGAAACTAGAAGAAATCCAATGCACCGTTGAAAACAGAATACATTAAGATAATTCTTAATGAGCATTTGTCTTTTTCTAGGTCAGGGACCTTGAGGAGCAGCTTCACATAGCTCCTTCTGAGGTAGCAGAAGCTCAGACAGAACAGGACCAACGTGGCCAAGAACCTGTTGCTCTGAATGCCCAAATCTGTCGATTACTGGTAAAAACAAGGGATAGTATTGAAAAACTCGTGCTTTCTGAAAGCTTCTCCTTGCTGCTGCTGCTGTTCAGATTTTCACTTTGCTTTTTCCCCCTCAATTATCAACCAAGTTTAAGGATTATTTTTGGCTCAAAATTTGAGTTAGCTGTGCAAGGCCCCAAGGCCTTTGCCATTAGCAGTGCAGGACATTCAGGCATAGATTTGAATTCACAGAATCCAATGCAAGTCCCCTTAAAGATGCTGAGCCACCTTCACTTGGACCTCACAGTCAGGTCCCTCTGTGGAGGAACCTTGGTCCCTTCCCATGTATTTTGCAAGGCTTATCCAATGTACAAATAGTCAACAGCAGCAAAAGTCAGAACCAGCAGACTTCAGCCCCCTCAAAGCTGAGCTGGAATTAGATACCCTCCTTTGCACTATGAGTAAAGATCCACTTCCCCCAAACCATAGGCTTGAGCTAACTCACCCATTGTTCTCCATTTTCCCAGTCCATTCTTTTCCCTGCAAAATCCTCCCTCCAGGAAGTTCACCCTTTTCTGCTGCTCCTGTTTTGTGCTGCTAGCAGTTCCCGAGTCACGGTGCTTTGTGCTTTACATATTGCTGCTTGCAGGAGTTGAACCAGTAATAAGTTATTCATGGAAATATTTTCCCCCCCAATTTACAGTGCAGTCAGTTGAGTTTTAACACTTGAAGTTCTTTAGCCTTGACTGCTTTAAATTTTATACTAGCATTGCCAGTTTATTAGTTACTTTTTTACATCAGTTTAACATTTTTTCTGTGATTAAAAGCCAATATTCTAAGCAATGCTTCATTTATTAGAAGAGAGAGGGAGGAATAAGAGGAACAGACCCTGCTGACCTAATTTTCCTGTATAACTCAGATGCTGGAGATTAACTTTAGAACATTCTAAAGGTAGAAACAAATATTTCTCTTGGCTGATCCTTACGTTTTTATTCCTCAGATGGCTGCAAGTAAGGGAAAAAATGAAAGCAGTGGAAGAATCTCCTCTTTGACTGTCCAGCTGGAGACAACCCAGGAAGCACTCCATAAAGCTGAGGAGGACCTTGCAGCCAAGCAAGTGGATTTGAAGGCTGCTGAGAAAGCAGTGTCAGGTCTGGCAGAGAAGGAGAGAGCCCTTGGGGTTCCCACTCAGGAAGTCCAGGAGCTACATTCCCAGCTTGGCAGCCGGGTTCTAAAGAAGGGAGGAGACTGCTTACACAAGGTGCAGTCAGGGTGTGGAACACTGAAGCTGCAGGTGCTGGAGAAGGAAAGGATCATTCAGGTCTTCCAGGAGCAAATTGATCGCATGGCCCAGATGGTGGTCCAGCTTGGCCGAGCTACTGGAGCTATGGAAGCTGAGAAATCCCAGCTGGTAAAAGAGATCAGTGGCTGGAAACTCAAAGTAGAAGAGCTCAAGGTGTGCAAACAATCCTGTATTGCTGTCTTTAAGACAGCAAATGTCTGTTCTGAAATCTCTACCTAAATGTGCTGATGCTGTGGTTTTAAAGAAGGTCAGGCAAAGCCCCTTCTTTGCACTGAAAGAGCTAATGGGCAGAGAAGAACAATATTATCCCAACACCACCAAAAATGAACAGTTCTCTGCTGCCATTAGGCTGGTGAAAGATGCAGTTGCCATCCTGATGCAACTGTCCACACCAGAACAGAGCCAGAAACACCAAGTGTCGCTGAGAAGCAGCAGCAGGGAGCCCTCAGAATGCCAGACTGGGGACACTGGTGGCAACTGGCTGTTTCTCAGGCAAGAAATACAGGATGTGGTAGTCCTATGCAGGTCAGCACCCTCAGCCAAACTCCAGGTAGGGAATTTCATCCTCTTCTGTGAGGAGGCAGTGGAGAATTAGGAGTGGACATGGAGGAACTGCTGCTGTAGGAGGATGGAAATCACTTTCATAACCCACACCCAGTGAGGTTAAACATGCTATAAACCATCAGATAGGATTCTGTTGCCTCTTTTTTGCCTGGATTAGGAACTTTCACACAAGTAATTCATCTCTTTTACTCTGTTCTTCCTTCTTACCTGTGCTGGTTTGAGCTGCAGTAGAGTTAACTTTCTTCACAGAGGCTAGTATGAGGCTATGTTTGGGTTTTGTGCAGAACACAGAGTTGATAATGCAGAGACGTTTTTGTTATTGCTGATGTTTTTGTTATTACATAGAGTCAAGGCCTTTACTGCTTTCCGTACTGCCACGTTGGCAAGGAAGTTGGGGGTGCATGGGAGACTGGGAGGGGACACAGCTGGGACAGGTGACCCAAGCTGACCAAAGGGATATTCCATACCATATGACATCATGCTCAGTATATAAGGTGGGAGGAAGAAGGAGGAAGGGGGGACATCTGGAGTGATGGCGTCTGTCTTCCCAAGGAACCGTTACGCGTGATGGGCCCTGCTCTCCTAGAGATGGCTAAACACCTCCTGTCTGTGGGAAGCAGTGAATTAATTCCTTGTTTTGCTTTGCTTGTGTGTGCAGCTTTTGCTTTCTCTATTAAACTGTCTTTATCTCAACCCATGAGTTTTTGTAGCTTTTACCCTTCTAATTCGCTCCCCCATCCCGCTGGTGGGGGAGTGAGTGAGAGGCTTCATGGTTCTTGGCTGCTGGCTGGGGTTAAACCACGACATTACCCCAAACTGAGATTTACAGTAATGACATTTACACATCCTTGTGGTGATTTTCTCCAATTACGTGTATTACACATAGTTTCTGTTGGTTTTTCTGTAAGCAGGTTGTACAGGATGAGAAAGAAGCCAGAATACATGAAATGGAGGCCAGGTTGAGCCTGCTGGAGCTGGAAAAGCTTCACCTGGTGAACACATGCAGTGAGAGGCTCCGGGCTCTGAAGGAGTTGACGCTGGAAAAAGATGAGCTGAGGAATGAACTCCAGGCTGGTCAGAGCCAGATCGCTGGCCTGGCAGGTAGGGAGGCTCAGTTCAGCTCCCACAGCTGCTAAATTGGGCTGTTGTTAAAAATAAAGGAGCAGCTTGCTGGCTGAATCCAAATATGGGAGCTGGGACAGCAGCAGGTCCCTGTCAGCACGGGGTGGTTGGATTTCCTTGGAGAGCTGTCATGGCATGGGATTCTGGCACGGTCGGGGTGGGGGGGGGAGGCAGTCACTCACCACCCTGAGCAAAAATGCTGAAAATCCACCTGGTTCTGGAGATGACAGAAGCAGATCTAGGGAATCACAGAGTAGGGACTTGATCCCTTTCTCCACTAGTGGATCCCACTAACCATCTATAGTCAAATTGCAGTGGAGCTTTGTGGTAACTTTGCTTTGAAGTTGATGCTCTAACTTCACTGTTTTCACAGTTAATGTGTGGGAAAACCCATCAAGATAATACATTAAAAATACATAAGAAAAATAGGGGCTGGACCCAAAGCAACCACCAAAATTCAGGAAGCTGCTCAGTTAAACCTGCACTGCACCTGGCCAGATGCTGCTGGTCATGTGCTTTGTTCTCTGCACGTGTTCTCTGCAACTCTGTTGATGCAGAAAGCACCCAAAAGCACTTCTTTTATCACAAGCTGGTGACAGATCTGTAATCTTAGCCCAGCAGAATGACATTTTTTGTCACTCTAATTTCAATCTTTGCTTTACTCTCACCAGAGGCATTTGAGGATTTGAAGAGGGATTACCAGGGTGAAATCAAGGAGATGGAGAACACTGCAAACGGGCTGCAAATGCATCTGAAATCTGCCCAAGCTGAACTGAAACAGGCTAGGACTGCTCTGAAGAGCATGGAGGGATCTGATGGTAATGATGAATTGAACCTCCCCAAAACCACACACATTCGTCTTACCAGCAAGAGGATTTTTGTAAGCATTACAGCCATAATCAGTGCTGTTCACTGAGAATTATCCTTGTGTTTTGCAGCTCTGGAAGCTGCAGTGAGAATGCAGAAGCAGATCACAGCCAAGAGACGACACATAGATGCATTACAAAGCAAGATTCAGTTCTTGGAAGAGGCAACAACTAACACAGCTAAGGTCACTAGAGCTCCTTGTAGAAGTACTTAACTGGATTTAGGGAAATCTGTCCTGGGAGAAATGCATGGCCAAAAGCACTTTTGGCCCATGAAGGACCAAAGGGAATATTACTTGGCGTAGTTGGCACATCCCTGTCCTCCTGCTGCTTTTATGCTATGCTTTTTGCCTTTCTGTGCCAATCATTCAGTCACCAGCAGCTGTAGTTCTCTGAGTGATCATTTCTATCTATTCACTACAACCTGTCCTACCTCTTCACTGCCTTTGGATCCTGTGGGTGCTGAAGCTTAAAATTCTAGTGTCAAAATGGATCTTAAGACATTGTTTCACCTGTCCAGCTGTACTTTTCCTTGTAAGACCTGCCTTCTTGTCAAACCTCATCTTTCTGCAAGCTGCAACATCTGCACTTCTCAAAGGGTTAATTCAGGTCTTTCAAAGCTAAAAGGATGAAAAAAACTACAGAAAACATGTCCAAAGTAAAACATTTTTACTCATAGTTCATTGTCCTCATCTTAAAATCAGGAGAAGCAACACCTCAGAGAAGAAAATAGTAAGCTGAGTCAAAAACTGAGCTGTGTCAGGGCAGAAAACATCAGGCTTGCTGGGGAACTGGAGATCCTGAGGGCACGAGACAAGGGACTGAAAGAAAAGCTGTCTAAGATGGAGGCAGCCCTTGATAAAGTGAGTTAAGGTCACTTGCAGTTCAGGGATGCTTCTGGGTGCTTTTCTCTACAGCCACCTGGGTAAAGAAAGGTTGTATTTAGTATGTTCTTTTCACATATGCTGTAAGATCCTTACCTGAGGATCTACCTCTGGTTTTTTAATGGTAAAAGGCTTCTATTTTCATCAAAGGGATTCTTTCACTCCTTACCAGCTCAGGGAAACCCAAACTGCAGGGAATTTAATGCAAATTTTCTGTCCAGGCTGTAGACTGATGTTCCAGATCTTCCCCTGGCTCTGGGCACAGCTCCTTGCTCTGTTCTTCAGTACCACAGGGGCTGCCCTGGATCCAAGTGCCCATCTCAGCCCCCTCCCTGTGGGTCCCTCAGGGAGAGGGAGATTTTGAAGAACATGGTGTTTGATTTGGTTTTTACCTTTTTTTAGCTGAGGTTCCTGTTGCTGGCAGACCTGATCCCTAAGGCTAGGTTCAGCTCTGACTACAGGGGAGCTTACTGCAGGTAGAGCTGCTGCTCCTCCAGAAGGAAGAGTCCTTTCCAGCTGCTCAGGACTGCTTCTCAGGATGCAAATGTCTATGTAAGGTGTCACCTTCAAACGGCTTTGAAAAGGGGTAGAAGTACTTGTGGTATCTCCTCCCAAGTGTGACATTCCTTTCTTTAAATGCTTGACACAGGAAACAACTTTCTTGCAGTGTCTAGATATTTCACCCCTTTTCAGGACAAACTTTTTAAAGAAGAAAGTGTGTACAGCACTTTACAAAGGTCAACAGAGTCCTCAGCCATCCCTTTTAGAACCCTGAGTGTAGTTTTGCCTCATCAGCACAGCTGAATTTTCTGATCCCAGAGGTGTGCAGGAGGTCTGGGGCTGTCCCTGCCAGGATTCTCTCCCCTCTGGGGTATCCTGATGTGCACGTTGTGCCTGCCAGGATCATATAACCACTCAGTTGCTCTTGTGAGCCCCTCAAGAAAGGCACCAGGTCATCCCTCAGCTTCTGTACTGGTAGCAAGAGGTAAATAACATCATCTGTATATGTACCTGGTTTCTTTATCAGAGAGAGAACAGGAAATCCACAGAGAGTTAGCACAGTTAATTCATGTCCTTTGTGTCCTCTTTTCCAGGCATCCATGCAGTTTGCAGAGTGCCAGGGCATAATCCAGTGCCAGGAGCAGGAGGCAATGCGCTCCAGGCTGCAGCACACTCTGGATGTGAAAGTAAGTGTGTGCCTGGGACTCACAGGCCTAACAGCATTTGCTTTGGGTCCTAACTTTAGGTCTACCCCTGTTTATTACAGAGAACTCTGAAAGGTTTGTGTTCTGACACCCTTTTTTTACATGGAATTCCTCATTGCTGCATGAGCCATGTCCACAATTTCAGTTTTGGATGTGCTATTTACAGTAAGGGCAACAAACCAAATAGATTTAGTCCAATCTCTGTCTTTACTTTTGAGATTAGTAAAGAATGTTATTTATTTTTGCCTTCTTTATAACTGTGGGCTATTCAGGCTGCAATGAAACTGCTGCTACAAATGAATGGTACATTCAGAGCAGCAGTTGTGGCATAAGAAATCATCATTTGTTTCAGTTCTGAATGAGAAATGAAACGTTACATTCAAAACACAAATGACATAAGCAATACAACAAGTACTTCAAATGAAGAACAGCTAAGGTGGGAAAACGGGGGAAAAAAAGGTGCCACAACTGTGGGACAGGTGAATTTTGTGGTGGTCCTGAGGTTTACTGCACTTGAGTTCCAGAGCTTATGTTCAGTTCTGAAAAGAAATGAAACTGCTCTTCTTACTCCCAGTTCAGTCCCTGAAAGGGCTTTGAGCACACCTAGTGAAGAGTAACAAGTATTTTTGGCATTGAGTGCTGCATATTGTAAGAGACTTGGCTAAAAAAGATGCCCTGATGCAGTTGGCATCTTGTCTGTGTCCATAAACTCTGCTTGGCTCCTGTTTTCCCCCAGGAGCTGCAGGGTCCAGGCTACTCATCAGTGTCTGCTTCAGGGAGGCTGCAGTACTTGGTGCCTCTGTGCCACCTGCACTCTGCTGTCCTGCCACCTCCCCTGCTCCTGGCCAGCTCTGCCCCTCAGGTGAGTCCCTGCCACCTCCCCTGCCCCTCAGGTGAGTCCCTGCCACCTCCCGTGGTCCTCAGGTGAGTCCCTATCTCAGAACAGGAACCTCCAAAGAGTACAAATTACATGGAATTTCTAAGTGGGAGAACATTTGGTTGGAATGTCCAGGAGTGAATTCTTAACACCAAAGATGAAATCATTTTGTTTAGCTTCTTGTATGTTATAACCTTTCAGTTCTCTTTTTTTTATGCAAAAACCAACTGGACAATTAAAAAATCCTGTAGATTGTGCCAGGAGTTTATTTGACCTCTATCCCCAATAACATTTACAAGATATTAAAGCTCAAGGTTCTGATCTCTAAGCAGTTTGGTTTCCACTTTCTTTTGCTAGTACTTGCTGTACATCATTTACATTTGACAGTGAAAGTAAACTTGTGCATAGTCCTTGATAAATTAAATTGTGTGATTGATGTTTAAATGTTTCTCTGAGGAGATCTCCACTGGTTTTGACCAGTTTTATCCACATCCTTGTCCTTCCTTTTGCCTGTGTACATCTGCATTTGGATTTCAATTAAATCCTAGTGTTGTTCTGATTTTTCATTGCAGAAAACATCAATTCAAATCTCTTATACAAAAAAAAAGTCAAATCTTTTGGTGTTTTCTTATAGATTTTGTATAAACCTCCAGGAGGACCCGATGGATCTCCCACGGAGATTGGTAGAGGTGTTTCCATCACTTTTTTACCCCACAGCCTGTAGGAGAAATACAAGTCAGTGCAGATATTTTCCAGTAGCACTTTCTGGTTTGCTTTCTGATGTGGTGGCAAACATTTCCATGGAGGAACAAAGGGTGGTGGGTGACTCCCTGAAATCCCTGCAGCATCAGGCACTCCCATTCCCTTCTCTCTGAGTCCATCAATTCATACTTCTGAGGATAAGGAAGGAGAAAGGACTCATTTTTTATGTAGCACCTTGGTAAGGACCTAACACGTTGTAGGAGCACTTGAATCAAAGTCTACTTTAATCTTCTTGGCTCCTGCATGGAATGAAGCAGCTCCAACCCTTGAGACAGACTCTGCTTGGGTGATAGTCTAGTTTCTCAGCTGGAATGTGGGACAGGTGGATTTGCTGTGACTCAGTAACACATTGACCCATAATGAAGCTGAGGGTTTGTCCTCCGTATCAGCTCTACTGAAACCAGAGTGTTCCCATTGAAAATTACAATGGAAATAGGGGAGCAAAATGTTTCCAGGCAGAGCCATCCCCAGATGGAGCAGAGCTCAGTGGGAGCAGAGCTTTGAGCATGAGTAGCCTGAGAAATCCAGTTCCCACAGCAAGAGAAGGTGGTTTGAACCAGGTCTTTGCCTCAGGTCCTGAGCAGTGAAATGGGAGTGATATTGCACTTCATCTCTGGGACAATAAAGGGGTTTGTATGTGCAGACAGATCAGCTGCTACAGGAAGGAGTGCCTAGAAAACACCCTGACAGACTTCTCTGCCTGTCTTCAGCACTGTGTTTGTGTCCTCCACAGCAATACTTGTGGTCATGGGTTAAAGAGGAGAAAACAAGAGTGAAGAGTGAAAAAACATGTGGGTTTGGATGAGTAGAGGTAAGAATTGTCATAGTGCCTTTGCAAATACTTTGCAACTGAATGGTTTTGTTCCAGATGCCTTCCAAGCTGCACACTTCGAAGGAAGAACCACTGGAGGACCTAAAGAGGATTCTTCAAGAACTAACAGGCTCAGACAGTGATGTTGCCTCTGTGGGTCTCTGCTGCAGTGGTGAGAGCAGATCACCCTCTGCAACCACAAGGAATGCAGTGTAAGAGTAATACACTGATACTTTTCTTGTGTGCTGGTACTCCTCTAAACTGGGATCTGGCTGCTCACATGCCTCAGAAGCAGCACAGGATGTGTTTTTGCAAGAGAGGTGGGCTTATCCATACGTTTGAGATAATATGAAAGCTTCCAAAGCTTCTGTTGTTTGCCAGATGCCTCAGATGCTTTAGGAGGTAGGGAATTAGGTGACTACACCATTCGCCCTTAGTGCTTCCCTTTTTAGGCCAGTGGGAAGTGCTTTGCCTCAGCTGAGCAACCTTCTTTGAGTACTCATCTGAGGTTCAGCTTCTGAGGCTTCTTCAGTACTGAGCTTGTTTGTATTGCTTTATTCCTAAAGGTAAAGGCCTCCTGGGAGTGACAAAACAAAGCTGTGGTGTCACTTTCATTCCCCTAAGGAAGAGCTCTGGAACTTACTTACACTGTTTGCTTCTAATTTCCATGTCTGACTTGGAGATTCCATGTGAGAGCTTCGCTAGCATGACCAAAACTTAGCGTAATCCTTCCAGAATGCAACTTTTGCCTTCATTTTGCTTGCAGGGATCCTCCCTACCCTCCTACTGCAGATCTTCAGTCCCAAGAGGTTCCCCTGCCTCTCACACCCCTTGGTAAGTCTTCACTGGCTGCATTTGTGCCATATTGATGCCAAACTGGAGCATTACAGAATATTGCATTAAAATATAGTTCAAATAGAGTGTGTTTTCTTAGGGCATTTATTCAGACACCTCTTAGCAGGTGCTATTGCAAAGTCTCTGTCCCTTTTGAACCATGGTGACATGGATTTAGCAACATAAACAGAAGTAGAAGGATGTGGCTTTGAGCAGCAGGTTTGGAGATACTACTCTTAGCCACCTTCTGTCTTCTAGCCCACAGATTACCTATTTTGTGAGTTTTCTGTGAGAATTGCCTGCAGACACTGAGGTATTTAATTGTTCAGTCAGAATTTCAGGCACTTCAGAGATCAGCTGGAATCCCTCTGAATTTCTCCCTTCTTGCCAGGTTTACTGGCCATTTCCACATGGCAATGACTTCAACAGAAACAAATGTGTTGTAAAGAGCTTTTAGCCTCCTGCTGGCACGAGGTGTGTGCTCAGTGCTCTGTGCTTGGATCTCTCCTAGGAAGTGCATCCACCTGCTCAGCAGCTCCATGTTACACATCCTCCCCCAAGGAAGACTCTCAGGAGAGATACAGAGCAAGGTCTCCAGTGTACTTGCTGTTAACTACTCCACCTGATGGCCTTGTGGCTGACCCCAGTGCCTCATCAGAGCACACAGGGGAGGTTGGATCTCCAGAGGGTGCAGCCACAGCCTCCCAGATTGGTATGTCCAGTCCCATTTCCTGATCCAAAGAGCTTGGCTGGGTCTCTTCCCAACCTGTGCCTTCACCCTGTCACAGTTCTGCTTGAGTAGGTTTATTCTGTGATAAACTCATTGTTAGAGAAATGTAGCAGCTAATATCTTCTGCAAAGAGAAGACAAATTCCACACACCTCTGAATTTAAGGCCTGGCAAATTGCTTTATCCAGGTCTGTAGACTGTAAGGATGCTGGACATCAACACTGGCAGTGATACCTGTAGGAGCTGTTGTGGTTCCTGTAACACATCCAGTCAAGCTCTGGGGGTTACTGGAAATATTGGTGTAAATGTCATTCTCTGGAAACTTTGATTTAAAGGGAGTGCTTAGATGATTTATAATGGCATCATTATTATAATGTGATGTTTGATATAATCAGGAGGAGGAGGAGGATGATAATGATGATCATGATGATAATAGTAATGAGAATGATAATAGAAGAAGAATTTTCTCCCTAGCCTCTCAGGCCATAGAAACCAGTGAGCACACACCAAGGAGGCTACAGAGCAAGGTGGAAAACCTGCAAAACCTGGTGGAATTGTTGCAGATAACAAGCCAAGGTGCCAGAATTTACCCCAATTATTCCTGTTTTACTGAAAACCCCAGACTGTGCAGGAGCTGCTCCTGTTGCCTGCCCAGGCACTGCCTGTGGTTTTGCATGAGGTCAGCCTGGATGTGTCTGTCTTGCCAGCAGTGCCCAATTCTCCTGCTCCTAGGAGAGTAATTGGATTAACTCCACTGTGCACTGTTGCTCAACCCCTTAACTCTAATGAGCTTCAAGATCCTTAGCATGTCAGACATGGCAGCTGCTCAGGACTGTCCTCGTGTGCTGTCAGCTCCAATTAAAGGGAATTTTTAACAAGCTGGTGACACTTTGATGGAAACTGCAGGATCCTCTGGCAGCAGCAGGCTCCAAAAACATAGAGCATAGTATCCTGAGCTCCTGGTATGACAGGATGCCAAGTGAGATGGGATTTCTTCTGCTTATTGCATATTCCAATTTCTTCCCCTTTGCCCCTTTAAGTCTCATTGCATGGATTTGGGAAGTTCTTCATTCCCCACATCTTATGTGGCAGGGACACACAAGTCACCTGACCTGGGTAAAACTGAGCAAGTTATTTACAAAGAGCCAAAGTTTAGTGTTCTCATTTTTCTCCTTTGCCATCCATTAATATCCTCAGTATTTTTTTTTCCTTATTCACATAAAGAATTGCAAACAAATGTTGCATTTTTATCAATGCAACTCACTTATTATTAATATTTATGTATAAAAGGGCTTGATAAGTACAGCTTAACATGAGAGGATGTTCTGAAGCTCCAGGTGGCTGCACCTGAGGCCTCAGATCTTTTGGATATCAGATGGTGTTCAGCTAATCCTTCTCACTGCTATTTTCAGCCACGTCGCCAGTGATCAGAACTCAGGAGGGGAAGACAAAGAAAGCCAAGGGAAAGTAGAAAAAGCTCTCAAAGTGAAGACTTCAGTGATTACTGTCATGTAGGTACATTGTGTTTGAAATATGTTCTATTTTTTAAAGACTAATAATAAAATCTCTTGCAGTTTTTTAAGTCTTGTTTATAGTTTTCACTTCTAAAGGAGAGGAGTGGAAATACTTCCAAGTTCAGACTAATTTCCTGGCACAACATTTTCAGTAGCTGTGTGCTGTGAGGGACACTGGGCACAGGGCACTGCTGACTGCTTCAGCTTCCAGCATTTCTTCCATGTGTCCTGGATCTTGACACTATTGCAAGTCCTGACTTCTAGTGAGTTAATTTTGAAATTATTTGTTGGATGCTTTTCTTTTTCATTCTAAGATAAATTGTTTTCCTCTCTCTCCACATTTCATGTTAGCACCTCAGTAAATTCCAGTTTATCTGGATGTCCCAGAACTGCCAAGTACTTCCAGTAAAAGCAGGAAACCTGCCCATGGCTCCAGTCAATGTTGAGATAAAGTGTTGAACCACAACCTACAACTGCAAGACTGCACATACTTATAGAATCAAGGAATGGTTTGGGTTGGAAGGGAAATTAAGGATCATCTCATCCCACTACCTGCCACGGGCAGGGACAACTTCCACTAGCCCAGGTTGCTCCAAGCCCCATCCAACCTGGCCTGGAACACTCCCAGGGATGGAGCAGCCACAGCTGCTCTGGGCAAACTCTTCCAGTACCTCAGCATCCTCACAGGGAAGAATTCCTTCCATACCTAACCCAAATTCCTTGTGAGTCTGACTCTCGATATACCATGATTCCTTTAAGCAGAATGGACTCATCAAACTTTAGTTGGTGTCTTGTGTGGGGAGAAGAAATGAGTGAGTTGTTACTAAGCTGGTCTCAGTTACTGCCAACAGCATTTTAATTCAGGCAATTTTTTATACTTCCTAATAATCCTTTTGCACAGATTCTGATGTTTTTTGCAAGTGTTGCAACCTTAGTTGCAGTATTAATGGAGGCATCTCCCTTCTCCTAGAAATCAGTTGCAAATGAAAGGATCATGTTCGATGGCTCCTGTGTCATAGTTTGGACTTGCTATACATACTGGACAAACCTAGCCAGATTTTCCTAAGAAGAGGGTCAGGTGTAGAGAATCAGAAGCGACAGCAGGTTGGGAAAGGTCACTGGTAAGTGCACTCTCCATTGTGTTCAAGGAGCCAAGCTGAAAGGAGTTCCAGCTGCCAAAAGCAGGGAGCAGCTGGGGAGGTCAGACAAAGAAGGGAGTGACATCTGCCAAGCCCAAAGGCAGCTTAACATCCTTCTGCTTGGAACCCAGCAGAGTTGGGAACAGCTCTGGGATTCCTCCCTGCCACCAGCAGCAGGCAAAGAATTGGCCTGGGGAGGTGACAGTCTCCTGGGGCTTAGAGCATCTAAGGATAGTTATTTTATTTATCTACCAGTTTATTTTAGAATGAAATAAAGTCCCTCTACATCTAAGGATGTAGAGCTGTCTACATCCTGGATTCTGCAGCCCCAATAGCACTTTGTTGTCCCCTGGCATGCAGGTGGATCGCACAGGAGGACTGTTAGACTGTTGCCCAGCACAGATGGCAACCAACCCCCTAGAGAGAAAACCTAACACCAGGCTGACATGTGGAGAGACTCCAAACTATAAGTTTAACTCCCAGAGAGAATGTGGGATGGGCATGGACTTTGCAAAGCAAATAGGAAGCAAACAAATTGCCATGCAGGTTTCTGGAGGAGACCTTGAACTGGTCCATGCCCAGCCCAGCCCCTCAGGCTGCCTGCACAGCTCACCAGCCAGCTGCACGCTCAGCATTTGCACCCCAAACAGGAGCAGTTTGCATTTCACCTCAAAGTCACCAATTTGTCTAGCTCATCACAAGTTTGTTGTCAGGGGTATGAGCAAACGGTGGGACTGTGGTTGAAGGCTTTGTGGCTTTGCCAAGCTTTGAGTAAGACAGTTTATTCTTTGCGGAGGAGATTCACACAGGAATGTCAACAGTAAGTTGTTTCTCATGCACAGCTTCACTGTTCTCACAGCCAGGACATTGTATCACACAGATATCAGCCAGCCCAGCATCATCCTTTTTGTGCAGCAAGGCAACTTTGTTTACATCTCCCTTCATGCTTGAGTGAATAGAGCACTCAGTAATGAGGCAACATCTCTCTAAACCTGGAGAAAATACTTACCAGCTCGTCCAGCAGCACTGAAACCCAGACCTGTTCCTTTCACCATACCAGTAACAATTTACATAGCACAGCCCTGCAGGGCAGTGAGTGATGTGAATGGCATAGTAATTTAGAGGCTGCAGAACCCTGTAGAAACCTCACAATCATTCAGCAAGGTGTATAATCCTGAGGACTGTCTGTTGTCTGCAAGATCAAAGTGCAGGGTGTTTCATTAAAGAAATAAATTGCTCTTGGTTTGAGATGCTTCTCAGGGTTGGTCTGTTTGACATGTTCATCACTGCATTAGAGAATCTATTCTAGTGCAGGTTAAGTAGCTTCCTAGTGAATAACTTAATCTAATAGCACAGTTAATCTCCTCAGACAAGCCTGGATGTGTGTATAAATACACCCAAATGGCCGTGGCTGTGTGACAAGTGCTTTTTAAGTTGACAGTATCTCACTATTTGAAGGGCTTGCATTAATGGAAAAGAGATTTGTAATCAGCTTGCAGTGAGATGCTTTCCTTTGACTTCAGAGCTTCCTGAAGATCACCACCTGCTTCGGCTGTGCCTCTGCATCTTAGGTATATTGTCCACTTCAGTTTGATGCTAGAAAACCTAAGTGCAAAGAATGCAGTGGAATTGTTGCTCTACATGAGAACATGAAAATTCCAGCTTGCCAATGCAGCTGTGCCTTTGCCTTAGCTTCTCTCCCTCTTCATCCTCCCCTCAATCCCTGCCCAAGCCTTTCCTGAGCCAGGTCATGGCTCTGCCTGCAGGAACAGACAGCCCAACCCACTCTCCTTGGCTTTCTTCCATCAAACAACTGGAACTGGGGTCCCAGTAGGAATATTTCAGACACCTGTTCTTCACAGCAGCTCTAGGATTGTCCCACCAACTGCATATCCATTATCTACCAGATGCAGGTCACCCTCTGAAGCTCATCTTCCAGTCTTCCACCAAAATCCATTCCATTCCACACACTCACACTGCTCCACCATGCAAAGCAGGAAGGAATCAGCAAAGGCATTTAGGTCAGTGATGTTTTTTTTGAAGTACATCTTCCAAACCCAAGTGCTAATTTATATACTTACAGAGCTCCTACAAAGCTGTGCTCTCCAGACCAAGCTCACTCTAGGGAAGGGCTGTTGGCAAGCCAGAGCTTGGTTCTGCAAGAAGAGCTGCAACATGTGTTTGTACCCACAACCACAAAAAGCAGGGAAGCAGAGCAGCTTTCTGCTTCTCTCCTGTAAAGATACCAGCTAGCTGAGGCTGAAAGTATTCTACTTCTGACTTACTAGAAGGCCACAACTTAAAATTCATGCTGAAAAGCCTAGTCTTCAAAGAAATAAATACAAGTTTCAGCACAGTATTTGCTAACCATACTGTGGTATTGTTGCTCAGTAGGCAGAATATGCCACCTGTCTCTGTTCCAGCCAGAAGCCTATTCCCTAGCCACCATAGCATTCCAGGTTTTTTTCCAAGCCTGCTCCCACCCTGACAAAGTAATTCATTAAGCCCAGACAGTCCTTTCTGACCTTTGTTCTCCTGTCAGCAGGATGATCTGGCTAAAAGGACCTGTCTGCCAAGCCTTTAGTTTGAGCCCAGGTGATTGCTGGGCAGCAGGGGTAGAGAATGAAGGATTTGGGAGTTAAACCTTGTTAGACCCAGGAGCATCAGCCACTTCTCAACAGCTCCTTAGAGATTTCAGGTCAAGTATCTCCCTTCACTCCAAGTTACCCAAACGAGTCAGTTCACTGGTCAATTGGTAAGGGACTGTCAATCTGAAAATGTTTATTGTTTATTTAATACATTACATAAGTTAAAACACTTAAGTGCCTATTACAGTGCCTGCAACCACACCTTCAAGTACACTTCCCAAGCCCAAGCAGTCGGTACAAAGATGCATCCCAGAGCTCCACTCAAAGCAACACAAAGTCCAGGGTCCAGACTGACCTGGACAGGCAGGTGCTTGGAATGCTGCTCACACCTTCTCAGCCTACCTTGTATATCTTCAGCATGTGTTCAAAGTTGATTTCTCAGCTTGCCAAATGAATTCCTACAGGGGATGGCTGGCAGAGATCTGCTGCTCACATGGTTTAGCTGGGTTGGATATGGGATTTATGGAGCTGTGCACTCAGGAGGGTCTCCTACTTGAGCAAGGGCAGCCCCCCTAAGGTTTAGGGGCTTGGTGATCCATCTAGGCAGGTTTGCCACTGATAAGCAGCTCCCAACATCCCATTAATGGTATCCCCACCACTGATGAACAGTTAGATCTTCATGTTCAGTCACTAAGGTCCTGTTACCACATTCCTCCCAGCGCCTGACCTTCCCATTCTCCACCAAGATAAATTTCCACTCCATTCTGGTGTCTACAGGCAGACTAATGGATTGGGACCAGAAGCCATCCTTGTCACACTTGAGGGGCACATAGCTGTTCCACTGGCCAAGACACTCATGGTCCCCAGTGATACCGATGAGCTGCGCATCGGAGTGTGTGATGTAGTGCACACGGAAAGCCACGTGGATGTTCTGGAACATGGGGGTCACAGCTGCAACCCTCTTGGCTTTCAAGTCCCCATCACAGCAGTCTCCTTGTTCCCATTCCTTGCTGTCAGAGTCTTCCATACTGCCATCCTTTCCAGCCTCCCCCTCAACCAGGTGCTCAGAAACTACTTCCCACTCTTCATGGTCCAAGTCCTTACTTTCAGCTGGCTGACCTGGCTGCTCCTCACTTCTGTCCTTACAGTCATCCTCAGAAGTTCCTGCCAAGTTCATCATGCACCATCCATCACTTGCCTGTCCCACCTGGGGTCCCAGTTCTCCTTGGCTGCTGGGTGTATCAGCTGGATGCTCTGTGGAGTCGGTGGCGTCCTGCTCCGGGAGCTGCTGCTCCACCTCCAGAGGTTCACTCGAAACTCCACCACTTGGGATATGGTTAAGCTCTTCCTTTGGGACAACCTCCAGATCCTCTCCTGGCTTGGGAGGGCTGGACAGGGCAGCAGCCGTGGAGTCCTGCAGCGCCGGCTCCGCGCTCGCCGCAGCATCCTCTGAAAGGGAGAACGGGAACGGGTTAAGCCGAGCAGCGGCAAACCCCAACCCGAGACGCCCCGAGCACCATCTCCTCTCCCGGGGACATTTAGGGAGAAGGGAGAAGAGGAATGTACTAAGCTGAGCAGCAGCAAATCCAAGTTTGAGCACCATCTCCCCTCCCGGGGACATTTAGGGAGAAAGCGAATGGATTAAGCCAAGCAGCGACAAATCCAAGCCCGAGACACCCCAAACGCCGTCTCCTCTCCGGCGGACATTTAGGGAGAACGTAAATGAGTTAAACCAAGCAGAGGCAAACCCAAGCCCGAGCACCCCAAGCATCATCTGCCCTCCCAGGAACATTTAGGGAGAATGGATTAAGCTCAGCAGCGACAAACCCAAGTCCGAGCACTCCGAGCACTATTTCCTCTCCCGAAGACATTTAGGGAGAAAGCGAATGGATTAAGCCAAGCAGCGACAAATCCAAGCCCGAGACACCCCAAACGCCGTCTGCTCTCCCGCGGACATTTAGGGAGAAGGGGAATGGATTAAGCTCAGCAGCGACAAACCCAAGTCCGAGCACTCCGAGCACTATTTCCTCTCCCGAAGACATTTAGGGAGAACATGAATGGGTTAAGCCGAGCAGCGGCAAACCCAAGCCCGAGACACCCCAAACGCCGTCTGCTCTCCCGCGGACATTTAGGGAGAAAGCGAGTGGATTAAGCCGAGCAGCGGCAAACCCAAGCCCGAGCACTATCTCCTTTCCCGAGGACATTTATGGAGAAAGCGAATGGGTTAAGCCGAGTAGCGGCAAACCCGAGCCCGAGCACTATCTCCTCTCCCGAAGACATTTAGGGAGAACATGAATGTATTAAGCCGAGCAGCGGCAAACCCGAGCCCGAGCACTATCTCCTTTCCCGAGGACGCTTAGGGAGAACATGAACGGGTTAAGCCGAGCAGCGGCAAA